TCCTCTCCTTCCCTTTTCCTTCTTTCCTTCCCTCCTTCCTTCTTTCCTTCCTTCCTCTTTCTCTCTTCTTTCCTTCCTCTCTTCCTTTCTTTCCCTCTTTCTCTTTCTTTCTTTCTCTCTTTTCTTTCTTTCTTTCTTTCTTTCTTTCTTTCTTTCTTTCTTTCTTTCTTTCTTTCATCTCATCTTCCTATAGTTACCAATAGGACCTTTTGTTTGTTTAGGATGAGAGCTCTCTTAAAAATCCTTTTAGATATAAAGTCCAAATCTTCAAAGGTATATCTACCTCAATTGTGACTCCAAACCAATAAGCCTTTTCATGGTTTAAAATCGGTAAGCCTTTTATGGCTTAACCCTGGACACAGAGAGAGTGCAAACGGTATAGCCCTCTTGAGATGCAGAGCCCCTCCAAAGATAGCTTAAGAAAGCAAAGACCTTCACTGTCACAGGTGGTAAAGAAAGTTCTATCTCCCACAAAGGAGACACTTTAGTTCACAGATCCACAAACCTGTGTTATCAGAAAGTGATACTGGAATAGGAATTTTCCCAGCACAAACGAGGAAAGGAAAATAGAGACAGCAACAGCCCCCTAGCCTGCTGGCCCGCTGCCCCATGCAAGCCTGACAAGGTGCACTCTCCCCACCATGGCCCTACGCAAGCGGCAGAGACCAGAGAGAATATTCTCACTAGTTACAAAGCCAGGTTCTCAGTACCTGAAACAAGACAAATGAAGAGTCTCATCTTATGATTTTCATCCTTATGACAAACAATACAGAAGTCAGACAAAGGAAAACATGACTATTTCTGGGAAGGGAAGAATCAATAATCTGTAGGTACCCAAAACTAAATTCACAAGAGTCATGATTCGAGATCTGTTTTTTCAGATGTTATTCTCCTGCCATTATGAATTTGGAAAGGAAGGGAAAGGAAAAGAAAAGTTTTATACTCCTCTCTTGACTGGGCGCTATAGTCAGAGATCTGGGAGACTGACATGGTAAGAACTCTTACCTCTGCTGGTCTGTTGTCAGTTACCACATACATCAGCTGCAGTCTCTAGGGAGAGAAGAGTTTTCCAGACTTCTACTCTCCCATCCTCATCACCAGAAACTACAGGAGGAGAAAATTCGATTTCCTTCTACTCTTTTAGGGTTTCAGCTGGGGCTCTGTAACAAGAGACAGATGAGCAAGACAAAAATAAGTTTATTAACATGGGTATCTCATATATATTTGAGAGAAATGCAGGGATGAGTAACTCAAAGAGGTGGCCAGAATTTGGGCTTACATACCATCTTAACCAAAGAACAGTACATTTTTAGAAGAACAACAAGACAGAGGAAAAGAGTTTTAGGCTTCTAAGGGCAGCAAACTGTGGGAAGATAAATATTTAGTGGCCACTGGAAGATAATAGCTAGTCAGTAAAATTTGTTATTTGAGGTCCTGTGAGGTCTTGGGGCTGATGAGCATGTAGAGTTGTCAGTGATTAAGTCCTGTACAAACCTAGGTGGTTCTGTTTTCAGGTATATAGAGGGAGGGCAGAGTGTTTTCTTGGATCTGCTTCTTCTCAGTTGCCTTCAGTTCAAAAGAATCCTTATGCCAAAAGGGAAGATTTTCAGGTAGCATATACTGCTATTCTTCTTTAGGTTTGATTGTAAAATTCCCTTGTTTTAAAATGACCCCTTATATTCTAAGATCAAAATGTGAGATAAGGCATTGTCAAAAAGTTACAAACATTGTTCACGTGAGGCTTATTTATAATAGTAAAACACTGATTTATAAGCAAAAAATTATAATAGCAACAAAAAATTATAATAGCAACAAAAAATTTAGAGTGGGAATATGGCTGAGCAATATGGTATCATGCTATATACCCATTAAAATGATAAGTAACATGTTATGTGCTTTTGGGGAAAGAGTATAGAAAATAATTTTAAGTGAAAAAGATGAAGACAACATAGTGAATGCAAAATCAAAAATTGGAGCTCTTTTTCTGTTGTGTAAAATATTCATTCAGGGTGTTTTTTTTTTCTTTACAGTTCCTTAAATTCATAATAAAATAGGAGACAGTTCCTGGTTTGGAAACAGTCCTACTTCCCAGTTCTTCATGAGCCAGGTCTTTAAACAATGCCATTTCATCATTTTCCTGTAGGGTAATTCTTAGGACATCAAAATAGCTCTTTTCAAATATTAAAAAAAAGAGCTTCCAAAGTTAGTAAACCAATAAAGAGTTCCTGTTTTTCACATCTCTCAAAGGGTGGAACCCGCAGCCATTAGGAGAAGAAGGAAGTGAAAAGATGTTAAATACTGAGCACAGCCTTCCCCGGTCAGCCTAGAGGTCTGGCTTCCCGGTCAACATGAAGGCTCCCCTTCTTCTGGGGCTTCTGCTTTCCGTCACCGTCCAGGGCAAGGTCTTTGAAAGGTGTGACCTGGCCAGAACTCTGAAAAGACTTGGGCTGGCTGGCTTTAAAGGTGTCAGCCTGGCAAACTGTAAGTTAACTCTTCTTCATCCTTCCAAATAGTTAGCCTGGTGTGGGACAGATAGAGGATGAATAGTAATAAAGAGGCTTTGAATGAATGGACTTCTTTTATTTCTTTTGAGGGTCAATGGTTCAAAATATCAGCTTGTTTCTTTAGAATCAGATATGCCAGATGAAGGAATGAGGGCATGGGAGGGCAAAATTCTCTGCCATTCTAGGGATACCAGGACCCATTGTGCTCTTCTGGAGCTGCTAAATTTGTCTGTTGCCTCAGACTCGGTGGCACGTGTAGGCTGACTGAAAGGTCTATCTGAGCACCGGGACTATCTGTCAAGTCCTGGGTCTTTGACGCCAGGCATTTTCTGTTTGGAACTTGGTTCCAACGGTAATGAGCCTAGAGCAATAAGGATTTTTCTCTGCCATGCCATGGGATTTTTTTTTTTTTTATTATTTAAAGATTTTATTTATTTATTTGAGAGAGAGAGAATGAGAGACAGAGAGCACGAGAGGGAAGAGGGTCAGAGGGAGAAGCAGACCCCCGCTGAGCAGGGAGCCCGATGCGGGACTCGATCCCGGGACTCCAGGATCATGACCTGAGCCGAAGGCAGTCGCTTAACCGACTGAGCCACCCAGGCGCCCCATGCCATGGGATTTTTAACAGCAAAGTTTTAAAACCCTATGTTGAACTCTCAGTGCAGGGGCAGTAGGAACCTATTTCCCCTTGATTACTGTTTATATAAGGATCCCTGAAATGCAGCTTGTAATAGTATTTTATTATTCTTTTTTTTTTTTTAAGATTTTATTTATTTGTCAGAGAGAGAAAGAGAGAGAGGGCGCACACGCAGGGAGGGAGGCAGGCTCCTCGCTGGGCAGGGAACCCCGTACAGGACTCAATCCCAGGACCCTGGGATCACGACCTGAGCCCCAGGCAGATGCTTAACCTACTGAGCCATTCAGGCGTCCCTATTCTTACTCAGTATAGTTTATTAACTATTTTTCAGTTTCTTCCACTTAATTCAAGATATGTCTGAGTAAAAGTTACTTTATATTTTAGTTCACATTTATCAATGTGATCACTGTATTTTTGAGGTTGAATTCAAACATTTCCTCTTGGTAACCGCTTTTGAATGAACGAGTGGATGGATGGATGAAATAGTCTTTCCTGTTTTACCTCTTGTTTTTCAGATTCTGATTTGATAAGCAAATTCACCTTTAGGTATCTTAAGAAAATTTATTTCTCCCAGAAAATTCTTATTTTTCCTAATAAAAAGCATTTTTTCCATCAGCGTATGTATGTATCTGCTATTAATTATAAGATCCACTCAACAACTCTGTTGATTTTTCCATTCTAGGATAAATCTTGCCTGAGGATGGGAGCAGGGGGAGGGTAATGACAATGGAAGAAACAGCTATTTTAATATTTTAAAAATATGTTATCTAGTTTAGTATTAGTATACTAATAGTATGTGTACTAATAGTATACATTTTGTAATACTAGTATTAGTATTACAAAATGATTTGCAAACTAAAGGATTCTCACTAAAGTGTTAAAATATATTTGGGGGCCCCTGGCTGGCTCAGCCAGTGGAGAATGCAACTCTTGATCTCAGGGTTGTAAGTTCAAGCCCCATGTTGAGTGTAGAGATTACTTAAAAAAATAAAATCTTAAATATATATACATATATTTATATTTATAAGGAAAAAACACTTTTACACTTATAAAGTAAGTCATTAATAAAATAGAATAGCAAAATAGAACTGATTATGGTATGTGAAATACATCATGTGGTGTTGATGTTTCTTACTAAAAATAAGTTTTTTTCAGGGATGTGTTTGGCCAAATGGGAAAGTGATTATAACACAAAGGCTACAAACTACAATCCCGGAAGCAGAAGCACTGATTATGGGATATTTCAGATCAATAGCCGCTACTGGTGTAATGATGGCAAAACGCCCAGAGCCGTGAACTCCTGTCACATACCCTGCAGCGGTAAGAAAGACGATGTTTAAGTGGCGGCACAGGACTCATCTAGTCATACTTACGAGAGCAGGGGTTCCGTACAAATGAAAGCGTCTTGAAAGGTTCATCAGGGACCTAGAAAAACTCTATTTCAGTGCCTAGAAACTCTTTTTTTTTTTTTTTTAAGATTTTATTTATTTATTTGAGAGAGAGAGAATGAGAGAGAGCACAGGAGAGAGGGGAGGGTCAGAGGGAGAAGCAGACTCCCTGCTGAGCAGGGAGCCCGACGTGGGACTCGATCCCGGGACTCCAGGATCATGACCTGAGCCGAGGGCAGTCGCTTAACCAACTGAGCCACCCAGGTGCCCACCTAGAAACTCTTTATGATCATCCTCATAATTCCCTAAGAAATTAAAGAGCTGATGATGACATCATAAAAAGTTCAAGTTTTCTAATGTAATCTAAAATGATCTATTAATTTATCATAAATGAACATATTGATGCTTTGTCGAAAACCATGCCATTTCTCCCACTTTCTTTGGGGAGGTTTAGGGATAATTTGGTGGTGGGGCCCTTTTCTAAAAATTGTTTTTACTTTTTATTTTGAAATGTCCTAAATATATAGAAATTTCGAGACTTCAGTATAATAAACAGCCATATGCTCATCACATACTTTAATAGTTGTTAACACTTTGTCAGTTTTACTTTTTTTACGTGTATTTTTTTCTTTTTGCTGAGTGATTTTAAAGTGAATTAGAAACATGATGACTTTTCATTTCTCAACTCTTTAGTTTGCCTCTTCAGAAAATACAGTTCTTATATAATTATTGTTATACCTAACAAGTTATTTTATGGATTTGTTTAATTGGGGTGAAACAAATATTCTATTGAACTCATATAAAAGATAGAAATAACATGTGGAATATTCAGTGTATAAAATACTGGAGAAGTATTGTAAAATTGATATTGTTAAATCTTTTAATGTTAAACTTACTAATAGACAAGATTAGTCTTAGAATACATTTTGCATCCAGCTAATTTATTTTTAATCTTTTATTATATAATAAAATGTGGCCATTGAACAAAAATCCTTACTCCCCAGAGATTTATGACCACTGGTAACTTTTGGTGTATATTCTTCCACAGTATGTATCAATCATGTTATGAATGTAAAGCTATATCATGCACAAATGTACCTACATACAAACATGTAAGCAATGTGCATTAAGAAAAATGAAGTTGTACTATTTTTACTGCTTTACAGCTTGCTCTTTATCACACAAAATTATTTCTATGTCAACAAATACAGATCTGTATTATTTTTAAAGGATGGAAAGAATTCCACATATAAATGTTCTATAACTTACTAGTCCAGCTCTTATTGGTAAGCACTTAGGTTATTCTGCTTTTCCCCCTTTGTGAAATGCTATGAAATATCTTGTGCATACATCTTTAGGTACATTTTTATTATTTCTTTAGGATAGATTTCTGGTGGCAGAACTGCTGATTAAAAAATTGCTAGTCTGTGTTTGGTTTTTTTTGTTTGTTTGTTTGTTTTTTACAGTGCCTAGAAAAAAGAGAACCTTCTGTCACATTAGTTAACAATTCCAGAGCTTTCCATGACTTTGGTAAATGAGAAACAGAATGCTTTATTTCATGCCAAATGGGATAGAATGAAGAAAAATTTTCCCCCAACATTCACAGATAAATGGACTCTTAGAAAATAATTTTATGTTCTTTCATCCTCCTAAGAGAATAAAGCTGACTAAATCTAAACTTAAAATGAAATTTCTATGGAAGCTGTTTTCATTCCTCACCACCTCTTTTTCAGATTTGCTGAAAGATGACATCACTCAAGCTGTAGCATGTGCAAAGAGGGTTGTCAGTGATCCAAATGGCATTCGCGCATGGTACGTTTAAGCATTAAGGTGGGGTGGGGGGCGCCTGGGTGGCTCAGTTTGAGCATCCGACTCTTGATTTCACTCAGGTCATGATCTCGGGGTCCTGGGATGGTGCCCCATGTTGGGCTCTGCACTGGGCATGGAGCCTACTGAAGATTCTCTCTCTCCCTCTGCCCTTCCCCCCAGCCCCCCTCTCTCCTTCAAAAGATTTAAAAAATAATAATAAATTGAACATAATAATAAAAAAATTAATTTAAAAAAGAATAAATAAATAAATAAAAGGGGACAGCTATTTTGCCCAAGTGTTAAGAGAGAAGTGAAAGAAGATTTTCAAAGACCAAAGTATGCTACTGAGAACTGAATGTTGCTGCTTTAGCCTTACCCTAAACAATGAGTTACATAGAAACAACCTGTTTCATCTGATTTAGAATCTTACTCTTTCCCCCTTCAATTTATTTTAGAGGATTTCTAGAGTTTTTAAGATTCTCAACATTCTACCAGTTCCTTGTCTTATCTTGAAATTGCTTTTGGAGTTAAGTAAATGTGGAAAGCACTTTGCAATTACTATTGTAGAGTGCATAGATCAACGTTCATGTTCCTGGGCTTTGGGGGGATCCTGGGCTTTGGGGAGAAGTGACATACTTGGTGTACATATCTCCATTTAATAAATAGCAAATACCTCAATCTATCTGCAGCCTGTCGTCCATTTACCGGTAAAACATTCTGTTCTCCCAGAGGATTTGAAGTGTGTCTATTACAATGAAGCTATGTTTTGACCTTATCAGTGTTTGTTTCGCTTTTCTCTACAGGGTGGCATGGAGAGCACACTGTGAAAACCAAGACGTCTCTCAGTATGTTCGGAATTGTGGAGTGTAACTGTGGAGTTTTCCTTCTGCAGCTCATTGTATCTCTTTTTCATATTACCATTCTTTCAAATAACACTTTTACACAAGCAGGAACAGAATATGGTCTTTCTTCTAAGTCTTCATGTTTACGAAATGTGTTTATTTGATAGCCTGTAACATTTTTCAGTTTGCTAATAGAATAATGCTGGTGAAAACTTATCTAAAGTCTTGCCTATCAAATACATCTCCAATATAGTCAGTTCTTAAAGAAATAACCCCAACTTAATCTTTAGTACTCCCCAATATTTTATAAAAATGTAACAAAAGATCTTAAAACAAACATCTTAGGCAAAATCCTAGCTGAATAGGCATCTGTTCAGTCCTCTCCAAAAACAGTAAAAAAAAAAATTAAAAAAAAACACAAAGCAAACAAAAAAAACCCTACAAAACAAACAAAAAAACACTCTCTGTTGGGCAATATAAAGTTTAAAAAGGAGCAGAATGCCAAATGGCTAAAAATGATGACAGCCTGAATTAAGAATTTTGCTTTTCTAAACTGTGACCTTGGTTTAAATATTTTCTCAGAAATGTTGCTTTCATACTGCTTTAAAAATAAATTGACAGTTTATATGTGAATCTATTTTGGCCCTTTAAAGAACTCTTCTATGCATCTTTGTGATCATGAAGGAATATAAAGAAGGACTGGATGAGCTGTTGTTGTTCTTTGATTTTATTAACTTAGATTCATGCATTATGACTAAATCTTGAGGCAAATGACTGCAAGTATTGAAATAATTGCTGATTAACCAAAGGTGTGAAATTATGCATGTTATAAAAATAATACAAACATTATCATTAGAGGCTTTGCAACTCATAACTTGTCTTTCTTTGTTTAGACCCAACTAGTGTCTAAGAAGAAAAAATATGTGTATTCAAAAAAGAATTATTTGGGGGCTCAGTCGTTAGGCATCTGCCTTCGGCTCGGTCCTAATCCCAGGGTCCTGGGATCGGGCCCCGCATCGGGCTCCCTGCTCCGCAGGAAGCTTGCTTCTCCCTCTCACACTCCCCCTGCTTGTGTTCCCTCTCTTGCTGTGTCTCTCTCTGTCAAATAAATAAATAAATAATCTTTAAAAAATATAATTATTTGATATTCTTAATATATTCTATATCTTTACCTGTACCCAAACAGCTGGATATTGCTGGAGAAAAATCCACAAGCATTCTGACAGATCTCATTTTGATAACCACAGATCTTGCATGGGCCCTCAGTCTGCATGGCCATCCGAGTCACTTCTCTGCACTCCTTCTGTGTTGGTGTCCCCACTCTCCAAAATGACTATTACTATTTTAGTTCTCTTCCTCTCTCTTCAAAGCCCCAGCACACACATCCAACCATTCACTTTTCACCCTCTCTGTTCTCAGTAGATGACCTGACCTCACATTACACTGAGAAAATAGAAGCAAGCTCATACGAAATTCTCCCCTCCTTGCCACTGTAACAGCGATCACACCTTCCCCTGGGCCCATCCTCTCTTCCTCCGCTCCTGCCAACGGCAGGGTCTCCACATGCAATCTTGGATTGCATCCGTCTCATGACTCCCAAGTTAGCAGAGTGTTTCCTGCATCCTGAGTTACTCTCTCTTTGCTGGATATCCCCTGCCATTGTACAAAATGTCCTGGTAACCTTGCAAAGATTCTTGCAATTCAAAGACTTTGCAATTCTAGTGATCTCTGTTTATCTCACTAGATCTTTCAGTAGCACTTGACCAAGTGAACCACTTCATACTTCTGGAAAGCTTTTTCCCCCTCAGCTTCTCCTCCTTCTCCTCGTTCACATCCCTCCTCATGGATTGCCCCTTCTCAGTCCTTGACTGGCCTTTCCTCTGTTACTTAGTTTCTAACTGAGGGAGTGCTCTAGCACTCAAGCCTATAGCCATTTGATAGACTACATATTTTACTTACTTATTTATTTGTCTCTCCTCGCTGAAATATAACTTCTAAAATAATAGATTTTTCCCACTTTTTAAAGACATTGAAATGTCTCAATTTTCCCCAGAATTTACATGTACAGTACAAAGGCCTTAAGTTTTCTGAACAGTTTGAGAGTAAATTGGTGCCCATGTGGCCCTGAATCCTTCAGTGTGTGATTCCTACATAACCTCAAAACATCACCCAGATCTGGAAGCTAACACTGATACATTATTACCACCTACTCTTTAGAGCCCATTTAATTTCATCCATTGTCCCTGTAAATTCTTCACAATAGAAAGATCTAATTCAGAATTATGTGCTGTATTTTGTTGCCATTTTTTTTTTTTTTTTAGTTTTCTTCAATCTGGATCATTTCTTCAGTTTTTTCCTTTGATTTTCACAACTTAACAATTTTGAAGACCAGAGACCAGTTATGTTGCAAAATGTCTTAAAGTTGTTTTGCTGTTCTCTTGATTAGATTAGGTTGTGCATTTTTGGCAAAAATACCACAGAAGTGATGCTGTGCTGTTCCCATTGTACCCTCTCGGGTGGCACACAGTTTTGTTTTGTTTTGTTTTGTTTTAAGATTTTATTTATTTATTTGACAGAGAGATACACAGCGAGAGAGGGAACACAAGCAGGGGGAGTGGGAGAGGGAGAAACAGGCTTCCCGCCGAGCAGGGAGCCCGATGTGGGACTTGATCCCAGGACCCTGGGATCATGACCTGAGCCGAAGGCAGACGCTTAACGACTGAGCCACCCAGGCGCCCATACTTTGGTCATTTGATCAAGTGACCTCTACTGTGAAGTATTTGGGAAGGGATAAGGGCTTTAAGACTGTTCCTTAACAAGTTTTCAATTCATGCATTTATTTATTATATCAATATGGACCCATGGCTTCCTATTTTATTCAAATTACAATCCATTACTACCATTTATTTTTATGTTCACATTGTCCGTAATTTGGCTAGTAGAGCTTCTCTGTAAGCTAGCTTCTGCATCATTTTGTCATGTCCTCATATTTCTTGAGTACTTTTTTGTTTTCTGGCACAGGATGGTCTAAGGCTCACCTTGTTCTTCCCCTGCCCCAGCCCTGGAATCAGCCATTTCTCCAAAGAGCACTGATTCGGTAGAGTGGACAATGGTACATATGTACGTATATATGTATGTATTTATTTAGATCTATTTATTTTAGAGAGAGAGGGAGAGAGCGAGTGTGCATAGAGGGGCAGAGGGAGAGGGAGAGGAATCTCCAGCAGACTCCCCGCTGAGTGTGGAGCCCAGTGCAGGGCTCAATCTCATGACCCTGAGATCATGACCTGAGCTGAAATCAAGAGTCCGATGCTCAACCGACTGAGCCACCCAGGTGCCCCTGGACAATGGTATTTGAAAAACAAGATCTAGGCACTAGAGTGTCACTGATTCCAGGCCCCACCAGTGGACAGAATTAAAGGTTATATGTATTTACACAGTATTTATCACTGTATCTATTTATATTGAATTCATATCAGTATCTCCAATTCCAATCCCACACCACAGGGTTCATTCTATTTTTCTCTTTTTCCACGTTGTTAACTCTCTTCTCTGATAGTGAGAAACTTGGCTTCCATTGTGCTTAATAGCTTTGAAATGTATCCTTAGTGCATGTATGTATTTGATCAATTTGTCTGTATGTAACAAATCTCCCAACACTGCCACACCGTGGAATAGACCCTCTCCACTCAGGCTCTAATATCCTTCATTGGCTACCCCTTCCTCCACATCTGCACGCCCTCTTAACTGTGTTACATCTCTGACACCATGCTGGGTCACTGTCCTGATAGGAAGGAGGGCAGAGTTTTTTACACCCATATTCCAAACACCTGGAACATGATACGCACTCAATAAACAGCTGATCGAATGAATCTCTTCCTGATTATTTAGTATATTCCTCCATGTTGACCATTCTAGGATTTTTCTTACTCTTCAGGCCCACATGATTCCAGTACAACAGCTTCTGGGATTCCAAGGGTCAAGTCTTGACTATGTGACTGTAATGCATAGACCAGCCATGGGAGGGCAACAGAGGTCCCCAACACGGGTGCAGCCTCAGGCTTCAAGATTCTGGAGCCATTCTAATACGATTAAACCCCCCAAAATATGGGTTTATTCATATCAGGTCACCCAGAGGTGCATAAAGAATGAGTCAAGGTAGGGGAGAGAGACTTGAAGAGTGACAGCTCCGATGCAGAAATGAGATATATCCAGAAAGCTCCAGGATAGCTCAACAACACAGGCTGACTGAAGAAACAACCAGAGATTAGCAAAAGTTGGCTGAAGAGGGAAAGCGATGTTTCCTGGAGATTTTGCTTAATGTTTTTGGTAACTGTCATTTCTTATTTATAGCTTTTATTATCATACAATCAAGCTCCCAAACTGAATTTCTATTCTTATTTGGGAATGAAATAAAAATCAATATCAATGTTTGATCATTTTTAAGAGAAACTCAATCTGTATGTTGCTTACTTTTACCCCAGGGTATTATTTGAAATGCAGAGTAATATTCCAGATGATAACTTAGCTCTTTATGTGGCACTAATTATAACTAAGCCCTGAACACATCTTTTGCACTTCTATTTAGTGGACTCATTTACCTTTTTTTAAAGATTTATTTATTTATTTTAGAAAGAGAGAGCAGGAGGGGCAGAGGGAGAGGGAGAGAGATTCTCAAGCAGACTCCCCGCTGAATGCAGAGCCTGACTTGGAGCTCAATGTGGGGCTCGATCTCACAACCCTGAGATCACGACACCAGCCAAAACCAAGGGTCAGGTGCCCAATTGACTGTGCCACCCAGGCGCCCATAGTGGACTCATTGAAAAAATATTTACTTAGAAGTTGTGAAAGGAGATTAATAAAAATTATAATGAGGAGTGACTAATGTCATTCATAGATACAATGTTTTCCAATTAAATGCATATCTATTATGCAATTATATTTTTAAATCATTTTTAATTTAATTTAATTTAATTTTTTAAAGATTTTATTTATTTATTTGACAGAGAGAGAGAACACAAGTAGGCAGAGCGGCAGGCAGAGGGAGAGGGAGAAGCAGGCTCCCTGCTGAGCAGGGAGCCCGATGCGGGGCTCAATCAAATGACCCTGGGATCACAACCTGAGCTGAAGGCAGACACCCAACTGACTGAGCCACCCAGGCGCCCCAGTCATTTTTAATTTTAATAAGGTTATAAATTCTCAGTGTTTACAGAGTCAGATAGTTCCACAAAATTTATGAAAGATGTACCTCCTCATTTCTCCACCTTTACATGCAACTGCTTTCTACTCTTTTAGTTTAATGTTTTTTATATTTACCTCCATGCTTTTAAATATTAGGCTTATATTGCATTTTCTTGATTTTTCCATCATCCTAGGCTATTAGGATATTG